CGAACCATTGGCCAACCATCTTCACCATATGCATGCAATGAAGCAATGACTCGAAATCCACAATTACCATCTAATACAACATTAACTACATCATCAATATATGACCTGATGTGATTAGGAAATTGAAGGATGAACTGCTTAGATGACTGTGAAGATTGTGATAATTTCAACTTTTTCGAAGCCTGTGATGGTTGAGATTTCTTTTGTGAAGACTGTGATAATTTCAATTTCTTCGAAGTTTGTGATGGTTGAGATTGCATCTGTGAAGATTGATATGCTTGATCAACATACTCGTGATACAAAGGGTCTCTATAAACATCATATCCTACTGGTTTTTTGTCTTTCTTCTTGACTCCCCCTTTAGTTTTTATTTTCTCAGGTGGTGGACACATAGAAGTCATTGTAGGGAAGGCAAGTTCAAAAACCCTACTTTTTAATGCCCTTTTCCCAACAACATCCAGTGACTTAAACCTTTTCCATAACTCATCTATTTCACTACTCATATCCACCTCTGATCCATCATCTACATCTTCGTCCAACTTAACTTCCATACTTAGTTTTCTCCAATGAACATGTACAACATCTATTGGTATCGGTAAACCATCAATTCTATATCTTGTCAACTCACAAGCACAAGGTAATCCGTAGGTTGTTCTAAGAGTACAACGACATATTTCCTTGTTAGTTCCAACATAATCAACTCGTTTTAACTCTTCAGCAATGCGTCTCAATGCATCTCGAGACACTGAACCACGTAAATTATTGTAAAATGGACTTACGTGAGCGTGCTCAACTTCATAAAAACTCTTTTGAAAAGAAGCTCTAATATTACTCAATTGTAACTTTAAGTTGTCATTCATAGCCTCCCAACATTTGACCATGTCACCAATACTGTTCTCCAACATTTGCTTTAACTTCCAATGAGCAGACTCAACCCTAAAATTAATACATATTTAAAATATTTTAAAAAAATTCAAAAAAAATATATACAATTTAGAAATACTAAAAATAAATACATACCAATTAGTCATGGTGTTACCCAAATGTAGCACTGGATTAATCCATGCTCCAACAAATCTTTGTCTATGTGGTGTCAACCATGTGTCCTTCACATAATCAATAAATTCATTACAATCAACACACGCCTGCTCAAGTTGGTTCAACCTTTGATCATACTCAACCTCATCACTAGCCCATACAACATCCGTCCATAATTCGTCAATTTTCTTTTGCATGTCACTAGCCACATATTGTTTCCGTTTTGCACCAACATTCTTGTTAATATGAAATCCACATAGCATATTGATCGACCTCGGAAACACAATTTCAATGGCTTTCATCAAAGCAAGATCTCTATCTATCAAAATCACTTGTGGACACAACTCTTTCTTCACAAACAATTGTTTAAGCTTATCTAGCACCCAACAAAAAGTCTCAGTTTGCTTAGACTCAATATAGGTAAATGCGACAGCAAAAGTCAACTCGGTTGATGTCATGCCAACAATTTCAAACAGAGGTTGCCTATATTTGTTTGTCTTGTAAGTGCTGTCCATAACTAGCATAATAGGAAAAATATTCAACAACTTAACTGAATCTGGATGAGCCTAAAAGATATCTCTAATTACTTCAAAGTCATCTCTTTTTCTACTCCAATAAACATAACCTGCTTCCTCAATAAGCTTAAACAAATGTTGTATCTCACTTCTAGGACCTCTTATATTTTCTTCTATCATACTCTTATGTTTATATATTTGCGTGATCCAAGTGACATTATCTGGATCTTGCTCTTGCAATGAAAGCAATATATGTCTAGGTGGAACCTTTCTCTTTGTCAAATCAACAACATGTTGCTTCTGATCCACTGTCAACCTACCGACAAATGTGTGACCTTCTAATCTATCAGGTAAATCATGGTTATGAATTCCACATTTTACATTAATCTTCCATCCAAATCCATCAGTCGCTGGAATTGATCTGATTCTAAATGGACATCCACATTTTTTCGTTGCACTCTGGGTTCCACTATCAATATCTCTGTGTTTTCCTCCTTTATCACATCCAAATATTAATTTGTTACTTCTTCCTCTCTTGCCTGTTTTAATATCTGAACGAGTGATGATAACCGTAACTTTATTTCGGATTCCGATCTCTTTAATCCATCTTATTACCTCTTCTCGTGTACCAAATCTTTGAGTTGTTGAAAAAACATCAGACGTATCTACGCATATCTGATCTTTATCGCATATTTGTAAAGGAATTTCTGAAACCTCTTCTCGTGTAACAAATCTCTGAGTTGTTGAAAAAACATCAGACGTATCTACGCATATCTGATCTTTATCGCATATTTGTAAAGGAATTTCTGAAATAATTACATAAAAAAATTAAAAAAAAAATACAAAAAAATTAAAATAAAAAAAATTGGACAATTCAAACCGGAAGACTTGTAGCAAGAGTTCCGGTAGCCAAAAAAACAAACCAGAAGACTTGTAAAAAGTCTTCCGGTTTTTTTTGGCTACCAGAACTTTTGCTACAAGTCTTCCGGTGAACACCCACGAAAACTACCAAACCGGAAGTCTTTCCTGAAGTCTTCTGGTACAGTATTTTTGTGAACCGGAACTCTTTGTCCAAGTCTTCCGGTTTGAGAAAAAAAAGCCTACCATAAGTCATTTTCAAAGTGTTCCGATAGATTGTGGGATGAATTTCTCGGAAGTCTGAAAAATCTAAAAAGTGAAAAAATAATAAAATATTAAAATATATAAGGATAAAATGGGTATTTTTTAAAAAATGTTGGGGTATGGGTATAAGTGCAGGGGTATAGGATAAAATTTCCTCAATATCTTGGGTCATGGGCTATGAGGAATTGTTGGCCCATGTAGTCTCTTTTTTTATGTAGTTTTCTAGTAGGCCTTGGTAACAACTATTTTTTGTGGTAATTTATCAATTTGGATTATAACATGAAATTGGTTATGGGCTTTTTGTTGTAAAAGAATGTTATGGAGAATGACTTATGGTTGTTGTGAATTTGTATGTTTTTTAAAGAAATATTGATGATGGATAAAAGATAAAGGAAATAATGGGCTTCTAATTGACATAATTCCTAGACATTAATTTTGAAATTTACAATTGCCTTGGTAATTAAAACTTGAACTTCTCCCGTGAGTCCGATAACATCATTAGAACCAAATTTCAATCGACTTTGAACTCTTCTTCCAAAATTTGAATTAATTCTTGAGAATATGAATCCATTCTGGACGTGAAAGTCAGAGAGCCACTATCCTGAAACATGAACTCCACTATCACCGCCATACACAAAACCAAACTTATCCTTGACCTATCCCTGACCTGGTGAACCCCAAATGAAACTCGATTCGATTCCAATCAACCCTAAGATACACACAACACCCCCCTCCCCCCCCCCCACACACACAGATATATATATATATATATATATATATATATATATATATATATATATATATATATATATATATATATATATATATATATGTGTGTGTGTGTGTGTGTGTGTGTGTGTGTGTGTGTGTGTGTGTGTGTGTGTGTGTGTGTGTGTGTGTGTGTGTGTGTGTGTGTGTGTGTGTGTGTGTGTGTGTGTGTGTGTGTGTGTGTGTGTGTGTGTGTGTGTGTGAATTTTTGAATAATAGTTTGTGGGTGGATGTACATAATGAAAGCTATATACAGGTAGGAAATTTTGGGGTATGCCAAATATCAATTTCTCCTTTGACTTATTACAAGACGTCAACGAAATATATCACCAATTCAAAAACTATACTCACTGGGTAAAGAAAGAAAAATAAATTATATTAACCGCCTTAGAACGACGATGTTTTGGCTTTTAGGATTTTCTTTCTACTCCTTCCAAACACGCTCTCCCTAGGATTTTCTTCTTCTACCTCATTTTCACCCAAAACACGTATTAACTTAATACTCTCTTAACTCTCATATTTAAACAAAAACTTAATTTTATTTTATTAAATCTCTTTAATCCACTTATCTCTCACCATTCCTACCTTCATTCTCAATTTTTTTTTAATTATATTCTATTTTCCTCTCCAAAACCAATTATCTCACATTTTTCAATTAATTCTATTATTTAAAATAATTAAAACTAATAATAATTCTACAAAAACTCCACTCATCCTTAAAATACAACTAAATTAATCAGAGTACTCCAATAAATAATATAAAACAATCTAAATTCAATTAAAATTAAAGTAAACAAAATCGGGGTATTACAAGGACAACCTCACCATTTGAGTTATATTTTAGGAATGAGATTCAAACATATTTAACATGGTATCAAAGTTGGGTTAAGAATTGCAATATAGACATTTGATCCAGCCCACACTAAGCGTGAGGATGTTGTTGAAGTTAGTAGATGTGATGTTTGAGTTTGTTTGAAATCCTATCTTATTTAAATTTTTGAATACTTGAGTATATAAATATGTGAGGACAATCTCACCCTTTAATCTAACTTTTAGGGATAAGATCTAAACATATTTAACAATTATTTTTTTTTATTATGTGAAAAACCATAAATAAAATTCATTTTAAAATAGAGAGAGTATAATTTATGGATTAGGAAAAAAAAACAACAACTTGATTCCTTGCAAACCCCGCAATCTCTCTTGAAAGCAACGTTGATTTGATTAAGAAGTTAATATGAGACACTTGTTTAATAACAAACCCAACTTCCTTGATCCCTCCCAACCAAATCAAAATTCATATTCATGTTAATGTTTAATTAAATAAACTAATCTTGATCGTTCACCAAATCAAATATTCATTGCTTCACCTCTCGGTCCTCACTACCATTTTCTTCGCCCTATTTCTTTCTCCACCTTCCATCTTCATTCCACACTTCCCCTTATTACCATTACAACAACAACAAAAAATCACTTCATTTTCCTCTTTCTTTTTTCCTTTGTAATATTAAAAAGTATCTACCTACCGCAAACCGCTGATTGCCAAAAAAAAAAGTGATGGCGCCCCTTCTCTGGACCTGTTTCGGAAACAAGGGCAGTCGAGATGGCGTAGAAGGAAGCATGAAGTCTGATACAACAACGGAGGAGCCAGGACGCGCGGGACCAGTGGTGGTTGAGATGTTTTCGTCTCAAGGATGCGCGACGTCTCCTGCGGCGGAGCTGGTGTTGTCACGGTTGGGTAGAGGTGATTTTCAGCTTGGAATGCCGGTGGTTTTGTTGGCCTTTCACGTGGATTATTGGGATTATATGGGTTGGAAGGATCCCTATGGGTCGAGTCAATGGACGGTAAGACAGAAGGCTTATGTGGAGGCGCTTGGGCTTGATACATTGTTGACTCCTCAGGTTGTTGTTCAAGGTGTTGCTCATTGTGTTGGAAATGACGAGAATGCACTGGTTGATGCCATTAATAATGCTACTAGATACCCTTCTCCTACCTTTCAGGTTTCTTCTCTTCTTTCTCACTAGATTATATTAGGTACATGTATCAAACAATAGTATAATGTTTATGCTTAAATATGCATGTCATGCAATGCAAGTTTTTGAATCCGTGTGATCCTTGATATTAAGTTGTCTTAAGTTTTTGAAAGCTATGCATTGGTCAGTCACATTTACCGTGTCAAAACAAATAAAGACTCTATTTTATCAATATTTAACCATGACAAATATTTTCATTAAGACCTTTTTTAACTAGTTTAATCTTGTTAAATTTTAGACTTTATACCCGTAGCCACCTTATATAGTTTCGGAGACTGCATATTAAGGACAATTAATGTTAAATGTTTTTTATGCAACCAACTTTAATAGAGATGGTGTTTAGTTACACATACACTTTATGATTATTATTATAAGCAAAAATTTTATTTTCAGATTTATTGAATAACTTATATATCTAATTTAGATAGATCGGATACATTAATTATTTAATAAATTAAAAAAAATATATTCACAAGATCCGTGAAACACCTATTCTAAAAACCCCAATGTCATACAATGACTTACCTATTCTAGAAATCCCAATGTCATGTCTATGAAGAATTATATATGTACATACAAAAAGTTTGTTGCTTGTTTTCTAGACTAATTAAAAAAGATTCTGCTTATTTTTCAGGCCACTTTCACAAAACCCACTCAAGACACTTTGCAACTGTCACTAACAGGAGCATTGAGGAGCAAAGTAGACAACAATGGTGTGAATATCTTAGTAGCCTTGTACGAAAATGGTTTAGTTACAGACTGTCCAAGAGGAGAGAACAAAGGGCGTGTTCTATCAAATGATTATGTTGTTAGAAAGCTCGAAAAGCTCTGCACTGAAAAAGACATATCTGCTAAGAAGACAATAACAGGAAGTGTTAGCTTTCCATTGTGGGGAGGATTCAATAGCAGCAAATGTGGTGCAGCTGTGTTTGTTCAAAGCCCTTCTTACCAGATTTTTGGTTCACAAAGTTTTCAGTTGCCGGATAATATATGATATGAAATTGTTGATTCGTTATTTTAATCTTCTCTGCATAAATTATCATATATTTCAGTTACTTTGTTGTTGTTTGTTAGGATGTGTATATGTTATGTACATTACATATTTTAGGATAATATCATTTTTTTTTTAATTTTCCCTCTTCTATTTTCTTTTTTAATTCCTTTTGTACTTTGTGATGCATTATTAATTTTGTTGAAGCTAAGCTATACTGCTGTGAATCTCAAATTTATCTTGTTCATTCATTCAAAGCTTGGTTTTAAAATTGATCTATTATTCAGTATATAGAAGGGTTAGAAGTAGGTTGATTTCTAACAAACTCTTAATTAACTACGGTCAACTTCTAACAGTTATAACATCTTAATCAAACTAACTGCTAATTGTCAATAACAACTATCTATGGCTTTGAAATAAGAGTAGTTAATGGAACTAAGTACAAAATTAATAGATTGCAAAATTAGTATTTGTAATCATGGTTGTCAAACTCGCGGGTAGACTCGTAAGCTCATACGAGTTTAGGAAGTAAAAATGAGTCTCCTAAACTCGTACGAGTATAATCGTGCATATAATCGTTTTTTTGATAGACTCGAGTAAACTTGCACAAACTTGTATAGACTCGCGAGTCTATTGCGAGTTTACGAGTCTATATGTTTTTATAAAATAAAAAAAACTCAATTAAACGACTCAAATTCTCTAATTTAAGAAAGAAAAACAAAAAAAAACCTTAATTCATTGTTTGTATGATGATATATTTAGAATTAGAAATGTCCCTCTCTTAGTCTCTTCATTTAACAATGACGAGTCAATAACGTCTCATATGAGTCTCCTCCTTCATTTGTGTTTCTCTCTCACTTCATTGACAGTGCAGTCGCATTTTTCTCTTGTTGTGTTCGCGATTTTCTCTCATCCTTTAGGTTTGTGTCTTGTTCTCTCTTTCTCTTGTGTATTGTTACTATGTGTTTCATAAAGATATTTGTTGTTACTATATTTTGTTCATTTCTTGCTATGTGTTTCGTAAAGCTGCTCATCGTTGTGCTATTCGCTTCATTCACTGATGTAAATAAATCCTTTATTGTGTAAGTGTTCTCTTGTATGTTTGACTTGGATGCTTTTTCTCCAAGCATATATCAGGTTATATTGGCTTACTACTTTCATATAGTCATACCCCTGTTGTTGGCTGAAATTTCGACGTACATGAATGTTTGAAATAAGCCAGTAGAGCTTATAGATATATTTTGAAAAAAGGATATGTTGATTCCGCCGAAGGCTGGTGAGGACATAATCGAAGAAGACCCTTTACATAAAGGGAGAATTTGGTCTGGGACTTAGAAATATTTTTGAGTTTAGACTTAGGTTCGACGAAGTTTGTTTGGAGTTGCGTTCGACGAGCGTAATTCAAAATGAGGCTAATAACTGTTTTTTGGCCTTATTCGTGTTTTGAGAAGAAACCTGAAAAAATGGTAGATAGCGAAGTGCATGCAAACGAAAATGTGGCATCTTCTGGAGAAGAGATAGTTTGTTATCATTATTTTTGATTTAGTATAAATAGGAATCTTAGTGATTAGGATTCGCGTGTTCAATCTTGTACAAAAATTCAAATATTACTCAAAGTATCGGTGTGTGTTGAGAAACGAGTTCCTGAGTGTAATATACGTGTGATTACCATTTTTACACTTTTTACCAAATCATTTAAGATTTTGTCATTTACATTTGTTGTAAATCTACTTTGAAGTCATTTACATTATCATTTACATTTCTGCATTTCTTTACGAATTATAACGTTATTTTTAACAAATTGAAAGAACATTGTCGAAATGTTCATAATTAATAAAACTTAAGTAAAAGCACATATCCTAGGATCAATCTAGTCGACCCTGCGAGTAACCAAAATCATAGAATTTGGAAGACTAGCGCTTGTTTACCGATTTCGACGGTAAACAAATTGGCACGCCTAGTGGGACAAGTGCTTTAAAAGTTCTTCATTTGTGGTTTCTCTAACTTCGTTGCATGAGATTAAGAAGTGGTAAAATAGCCACTAATAACGAAGTAATACCAAGGCGGAGATACGTAAGAAGAATGACAAACCCGCCAAATAACAATGGAAAACAACCCCCTATTTTGACAGGGGAGACTACAGCCGCAACATCTGTGTCTGAAGCAATTCCATCCATGTCGAGTACGATGGCCATACCATCGAGCACTCATAGAGGACCAATTTTAAATTCTGTGAGGATGCGGGGTCAACTGGTGACCCCTCATCCAATAGGAACTAGTACATTCAGGCCCTATGTGTCTAGATTTACAATGCCTTTGAATGGCCGCGAACAACCATATGGCATGCCAAATTCGATGGTGGCAAATTTGCACAATGCGACGTTAGCATTTGCTGACCTAGTGGTGAATATGTTTTCATATTTGCAAGGGTCTGGGTCGGATGTTAACAACATGGGTTGAATTAACCAACCTTCCGCGATGGGATTTTCTTCCCAACAAATGCCCAATTTTACTACAAACTCTGCAACAGTTTTATGGAAGAAAATGGACGAAAGTAACCATGACATGGTCCACATACTTGCCCAAAAAATGAGCACAATATTTAACCCCTTGATTCAAAACACCACCCTAAAAAACCAACAGATGGCAGCGCAGTTGATACGAATTGCAGATTTCTTTGGGGTTCTGCCAGCACCTCGACAACTTTGAAGGGATTTGGTGGTCAAAAACCAAGGAGCAATCCTTGAGGAGGATCCTACCATTAACCAAGCCTAGCGAAATTCACCCTGTGCAGATGTGGCAAATCAAGGAGTTAGAGTCGAAACCCTAAGGGTCAAACAACCAGCGCGTCAATGGAGAAGGAACTGAGGGTGGTAATGGTTAACATGAATCAAAAAACAGAAGAAGTCATAAATCGAGTTCGACACGATGGTATGGCAGGAGATAACAACTTGACTGCCATGGTCGAAAGGACTATGGCACGAAATGGGGTAAATGTTGGCCTTTATAGGCCAACCTATATCTCCTCGTTGTCTGAGTACATTTTGCAGACTGAATTACCTAGGGGATTAAAGGTCCTAACATTCATAAATTTTTTTGGAGACACTAGTGAATCTACTATTGAACATGTGGCAAGGTATCTAACCGAGGCAGGGGAAATTGCGAATAATAAAAATTTGAGGATAAAGTACTTCCATAGTTCCCTCACTAAGAACGCCTTCACATGGTTTACTGCGCTCCCAGCTAATTCAATTTATGATTGAACTTTTCTAGAAAGGTTGTTCCATGGAAAAATTTACATGGGGAAATCGAAGATTAGTTTGAAGAAATTTTCTAGTATTAAGCACAAATTTACTGATCTAATAGATGACTATCTCAATAGATTCTGTTTGCTAAAGGCAAGGTGTTTCACACAAGTGCCTGAGCACAAGTTGGTCGAGATGGCCGCTGGTGGTTTAGATTATTCCATCAGAAAGAAATTAGATACCCAATATTTGAGGGATATGGCCCAGTTGGCTGATAGAGTTCGACAGATAGAGCGCTTGAAGGTTGAAAAAACCAGTGCAAGTAAGAATAATATGAAAGAGAGGGTAACATATGTCGAATTAGATGAAGATGATCAAGAAGCATATATTGACCCTTTAAGTTTCGACGAAAGCGAAATCGAACTGGTTGAATTAAAATAAGGGCCATCCTATTCATGCAAGGTTCTTGCGCCTTCGAATGGGAAAAATCCCGTCGAACCAGAAAAGAATGACAAATTCCCTAAGAAAACATATACTTTCAACGTCACCAAATATGATAAAATATTTGACTTACTAGTCAAAGATGGCCAATTGATAGTGCCTCCTGGCGCTAAAATACCTTCATTGAACAACGAAAGAAAAAAGGTTTTTGTAAATATCACAATTTTTTAAGCCACAAAACCTCACAGTGTTTTCTTTTCATGGATTTGGTGCAGAATGTGATTATGGATGGAAGACCGAAGTTTGGGGACAAGGCTAAGTCCCAGATGAAGATTGACTCAAACCCTCTACTAGTGGAGGATGCCCATTACACTGATCCTGCCATTGTCAACATGGTTGAAGTTTCTGATGGTCGTGATATGAATACCACTGCGATTGAAACCACTGAGGGTTTCAATCAAGAAACCAACATAAATGAGGTTACTAGAGGCCTTATAATCAAGTAGAAAAATTTGAAGATCATTGATGGCACCAGTCTGGAAGTTAACATGGTTGAAGTGAGCAAAGAGACTGAGATGGAGGATGACGAGGAAAGCATCCAACGAAGCAAAAAGCAGGTGAAGGTGGCTTACTTAAAGAATGATGAAAGCTTAGTGAAGTTCCTCCGTCGTTGCCAGCGAAAGAAGCCTGAAGTGATGTTGTGCCCTAGGTGCAGTTTTGTCTTCAACAAGAAGGTTGCGTAGAACATAGAAAGAGTTTGGGTGGCTAGATGCAGAAGAAACTGGAAAGATACCCGCAATCACTACACGTTCGATAAAAGAGGAGTCCCTCGAAGGCAGGAGCAAGGAGGTCCAAGTCTCCAGGATAACATACCAGTTACTTTCAAGCCAATTGCTGACGCTCCCAAAGGAAGATGGGTGAAGCTTGTTGAGAAGAGAGAGCGAGGCCAAGAGAAATGGCAGAGCTTTGAAGTGGTTCGAGGCTCCCCAATAGCCTATCGAAGGGAGTTCCAAGTATCAAGACATCGAACTTATGGATATGAGAATTACAAGGGCAAGCATCCCATGTCAAGGTTTCATTGGAGAAGGCAACAAAGGAGGAGGAAAGTGGAAAGAGAAGACAATGAGAAAGCGATGGCGGATTCTAGCACCAATCAACCTCCAAAGAAGTAAAGAGGCAAAGAGAAAAAGCCAGTTAGGAGAAATCATGTTCCTGCTCGAAAGGAAGAGTTTGAAGATAAATCAGAACAACCAACGGTAGATGATGAAATGATAATTGATAACTTCGATACGGGGTCAAAGCCCTCTCTAGATTTCA